ACGTTCCCACGACAGTCGGGTCTACGTAACCGGAACGACCCAGATTTATATCTGGCCAAGGACTGTCACTCCAGCAACACTCCCCAAAAAGTCTTTGGGGAATTTGTATGCTGCTACAACAACAACAACAACAACCAAATCAGCTCCTGCTTTTATTAATAAACGTTGTCAAGGGCTATTCTTCGCTTAATCTTCGGGCTGAAATTATTTGTGGATCCTAGGTACACAAAGTACTTCACAAGTTCATAGTGAGGTAGACCTGAGGTGTCACCCAACAACAAAGACAAGTGCCAGCATGTATTTCGCCTTGTCTTCGTTCACCGCGGCGATGGTTGAGGCCAGGTAGGTCTATGTCATAAGTGATTTTGCTGTATATATATAGAGCCTCTGCGTTCAGTCATCACTCGTTTGAATTCGAAACTTCGACTCGGAAAAAATACTTCCAAATTTGATCAACGCTGAATTTTGTGTTCAACACCACAATACACAGCCGTATTAGATTTATGGAGATGGCGATAGTTGACAAGAAGACGAAAAAAATTTCGTGCTATGTTCCACCAAAATCGCTTAGGCGGCTATGACGCCCAACGATAGTATCAACATAATTACTTTAGTCTGAAGGAAATCAAATAGTTTAATGAATGAAAATCAATGAATGACAACTTTCTAATCATAGCTTTAGTGTTTTTAACAAGCTAAGCGACATGTAGCTACTCAACGCCCATTTCATTGGAACATCATATGTACAATTAATTAGTAGTGGTATATTAAGCGTTGACCAAAAATATATCACAGTACTTAGCTAGACATTAAAATTAAAAAGCAAACGAAATTTAGTTGGACTGTTCAAGAGAAACGATACTGAAGTGTTAAAAAAAAAACTTGCAATAAATATGTTGAAGATATTTGCATCATTTTGGTTAGCTTTCAAAGAGACGGTCATGGAGTATTTACAAACTGCCAGTCTTAATGGATTTAGTTTACTTTACCTTATGAGAAGACACAAATATCAACGGTAAGTTAAGCAACATAAATATAAATGTCAGGAAGGACTAACTTGCCACAATAAACGCCATGTTGAAAAGTATAGCCAGGTAGTATTTGGACACTTAGACTAACGTAAAACGGCGGCGTCAATGCTAGAGCAAAAAACACAAATGGTAATAGGCAACCCATGAGATTTATAACTTCATCTCGAAGAGTCTCTGAACGACTGCTTAATTTTAGCCGGAAGGGTCTAAGCACTATCATTGGATACCTGACAGGATACTGCAAGCTAAGGCATCATATTTGTAAACTGGGATTTTCTGAGAAGACGAACTGCAAGTTTTGTAGGCTGGAAGAGAAATGCTATGTGATTGCCACGTTTAAATAATCCCAGACTTATACAATCAGAATTCGGTACATGATACCCTCCAAAGGGCTTAACATTAACATAACCTAAGGTCAGAGTGACTTCTTAATGCCCTAATTATTCGGTAAACTTGTATCTCAACGCGTTTTATATTTGAGCTTATCAGCAATTGAACTAATAACACCTAGGCTTTATAAAAAGAAAACTTATTACATAGTTTTTCAGGTCTGTAAAATCTTTTACAGAAGTAATGCTCATTCCACACGTGTTGTTTGGGTACTTATTATTAAACAATTTTAAAGCAGTTGAACTTGGTTTCAAAGAAACAAGGGGAAATCCGGTATTTCGCAGACTTTTTTCACTCTTATTAAAAAAATTTTGTTGTTGACCAAGACCCTGAAAGACTTGGCTTCACTTGTCATTTCCTATTGGCGTCAGTTGGCACAGAATTGAAACGACGCGCGTGTTTTTTGGACTCGGCCAAAATTGATAGGCAGTTAGAGCGCCAATAAAGAAGAAGAACACAATGAGCCTCAATAAAATTGTTTAATATAACTTAGGAAATGATTCTAAAATTGTTTTTTGAAAAAACAAAAAATCAAATATTTTTTTAAGTTACAGTCTTGAACTTTCTTATGTGAGTGTTTTATCTTACATTTTTATTTCCTAACAGATTAAGGAAAAAAATCCTAAAAAAAATCAGGTTTCTAAGTTGCGATTTTTTTTCAAACCACTGCTTTATATTAAAGAACTAGTTTTTGAATTAATTACATTCCTTGTAAGGAATCGACCGACTTTTGTACAAAGTCGAATTTTGTGAAAAAAATAAATTGGTACGTACTTATAATATTTTTTATGTATTTGGTAGATTTTTTTGGTCACTTTTCCTTTTGGCTGCTGTTAATTGCGCATGCTATGTTACAATGGTAAGCGTATCGGATATTTTAAGAAGCCCCACTGTCGTCACATTGGAAACAAATCAATACCTAGTCGAGAAAGTACCATTTCCAGCGGTGTCTATTTGCAGTGTCAACAAGTTGAGTCGAAGTGCAGTGAATGCATTTATAGAGGAAATGTAAGTAGAAAATTTGTGTGAGAAAGATGGTGATCGTACCTAATGAATTGTCATATTCGTATACATACATTAGACGTGATCAGTTCGATCCGCAGATAACCCCAGAACTTTGGCTACAAAAAATTAAATTATTAGCTGGCATCTTCGACAGCGGCTCTGTAGATTTTAAGGAAGCTGCTGAATTTCAAAAGAACTTTCTGGATAAACAAAAATATAATATAACAGAACTTTTAAAAAAGGTATGCTTTGGTTTTGTATTTGATCGCTAAGCCGTCCGATTTACATATATCAAATATAAACGCGATCTGTCACTTCAGGTCGAAAAACTTCTCTCACGGATAAAAGACATACTGTTCTGCATGCAAAATGACACTCATTAAAATAACGACATGTCCCATCTCTCAATTTGACAGGAAATAATTTAAAAACTGTTTGCAATAGAGCATCGCTATTAAGGTGGAAGAAATATCGTTTTGTGGAGGAAGAAATTCTCTACATAATTGCAGTAAAATGTACAATGTTGCGGCTAATCACTTTCACATAAGCAATTGTTATTGTTTTCCTATTCAGTTAAGAGCGTGTCAGACGTAGCAACATTTTCAAGAGAAATTTTATTTCAACGTGTGAACAGCAAGAAACACCTCTTTGTCACTTTTCGAGTATCAGTTTCATGGCGCAATAAACCGGTGAAGTCTCATAAATAAAAGTTGCAAGGTGTGACCGCAACTGAGAGAGCGCAAATCGATAGCGAAATATATTTCAAGTTGAAGGTGCTGCACTCGCATTTTTTATTTTTGCTGCAAGCGCTTTCAATGCCATTCGAGTGTGCCGTGTGACACTGATCACAAGTTTTGTGAGAAATAATAAAGGATAATTTTGAATAAAATATCGAAAATGTTTGTAGCTATTTGTTTTTTTTTTCGGAATCTAATTTTTAAGTTATTTTGTTCATAATAATAATAAAAAATTAATCTTTACATGAAAAATAAATTTAATTTAATCATTGTAGCATATTCATAGTCAATATAAAGCCAACTTTTAAGTTAGTGGAAACTTTTTGGCATAAGTTTCAATGGATTAAAAAAAGCTGCAACTAACTTTAGACTTTATTTCGACCAGGCATATGCCTCTGTGAATTTAACAATCGATAACACAAAAGTGCCTTGTCACAGCGTAGTACTTCCCACTGAAATTATTTAGATAATTTTTCCTCTACAAAAAATAATGGCTGCATTTCTTTATTCATTCTGAACATTTGAAATAAACTTTTTTTGTTTACTTATTCTTTAGAACGTTCCTGATGATATGTTAACGTATATTTCAAACGCCTTCTGTTTATTCTGGCTGTGAAATGGGATTATCTGGAATGTAAGATGAACGAGAAAAAACCATAAGCGATTTTTTTTTGTTCTCGGATGACACTCGTTAAGAGACGCAGTTGATATGCAGTCCCGCAGCTAGATGTGCGTACTAAAACTTCTCCACAAACAACACTTCCCGCGGCACTGCCATTCAACGTATTACTTCAAGGGGCTGGTTGGCTGACGGGTTTGCTAAGTGATAGATCACACCGTCTTAAATCTCTAAGAATTCGTGAGATATGTATGTATGTGCGCGTATTTTATGCCAGTTCTCTGTTTATTTGAACATGGTGTTACCCTAATTGAAAGATATGCCATTCGTTATTTTCTGAATAAGTACATATGTCCGTTAGAGAATTATATATTTGAGAGTACACCTAAAAATTGCGCCAGATTGACTGGGCCAATAATATCGAAATCTATGGAGCAAACTCCGTCTGTTATTCACAGTGTATGCATGTAGATTTCGATATTAGATGCATATCGATGGACCTCTGCAATAACGACATAATTCCAAAATTCAAAAAATAAAATGCCTTACTACTGTTGAGTGGCCCGTGTCACTAATACTTAGATAATCTGTGTCTAATACTAATATAATAATAGTAAGGATTACTGCAAAAATTAGTAAGGTTTAGACGTATATTAGACAAGTATTAGAAACATAAGCCAGTTAACAGTAGTAAGGGATTTTATTTTTTTAATTATGAATTGTGTCATTATTGCAGAAGACATGTATGTAGTTTGCTTCGATCTTAGGGACACATTTTAATTCAAAATAATTACTCTATTTTCTATTCACAGTTAGCTCCCAATTGCGATGACCTTATTTTGAAGTGTCGTTGGGCAGGAAAAATGCAGGAATGCAGTGAACTTTTTGTTAAAAGTTTTACAGCGAATGGATATTGCTGCACATTCAATTATTTTCGTCCTGATTCTGGCAATGAAACGTAAGTAGTGTGTAAAAAATTTTTGTTAGAAAAGTGATTTATTATTTAGCAGGAATATGGCTAAAGTAAGAACCCCCCACCGAGCTAAGCAACTATTTAGTAAATGTTTACGGAGCTGTTCCAAAGGTGGCAATAAATCTAGTACTTTTGCAGAGACAGTGTTGTGCATTTTCTTCCATAAGAAGTATGTTCGACGTTTTTTTTTTTATATGGAAGAAATGACAACACCGTCAGCGAAAAAAAATTGATAAATATCACCGGTAAGTCCTTGCTACATCAAACTTGCCCCTTATTATACTAAAACAAATGGGCTAAAAAAGTGCATACTGTTTTTTTTTTTTAATATTCCACTAAGTTTGAGACTTAGATTTAAACAGTTTTTGTCAAAGAGTAAACTATTGGGGAATTCATAACGGTGTCTTGCGTATTGCTGTAAATTTTAAATAGCTAATAATGTGCATATTTAGCATATTTGCAAGATACAATAAAAAGTTAAGGCACCCTGTGTTATTTAAGCTTTAAAAGTTTGCGAAATACAACAATACAACACCTACGACAGCGTTGTGAATACCCTAAAAAAATAAATCCAGCTTTGGACGCTGGAAAAATAAAACAAAGCAATGCCAAAATTATTAGAAGAGAAATTTTCAAAAATTATTTAATAATTTCCTTCATAAAAATGCTGAAAAAATTAACCACTGCACTGGTTTTACCTTTAAATATTTGTATCATGGTGTTGCGTTTTTATATTTTTCGTTAAAACTTTGGCAATTACAGTCGGATCTGAATGTATGATATCGTCCATGTTTTTATCAGGTTTACCGCACTACCGTCGCCCGTATGCCAGAAACATGAGTGCGTAAAAATTAAAATTTTGAAAAATCAACTTTTTTACGAGACCTAACCCTACATTTATGCAATTGAAGTTGTAAAATATGTGGTTTCCGTGT